TTTTTTTTTTTTCAGAACTGAGGATTGAACTCAGGCTCTTACACTTGCCAGGCAAGCGCTTATTCTACTGAGCTATCTCCCCGGCCCCAAAATGAAAACTTTTAAAATCCAGCATCAAGAAAATTGAATTTTAAGAGGAGGTATAAAAGAAAAACATTGTCAATAAAATTGTATGGATGGCAAGTCCTCAGGTAGGAGGGTGCTTGACATTATCAATCACTAGAGAAACTGGAGTTAGGACCTGCATGCCGAGTGTCACAAGGACAGGAGGGCCCAGAACTCCACCCCGCTGGGGAACATAGATGTTATGACACTCTGGACAACAGCTTGGTAACAAGCACATTAAATATGACAAACAACTCATTAGTCTTTGGCACACTGTAACCTAAAATTACAGTAGATGCTGCTCACATATGTCAGAATAGGAAAACTAAAACAACAGCAGCACTGAGTGCTGGGAGGACCAGGTCCCTCGACTTCTCATACTGCTGCAGTGTGAATGGCGCTGCTGCTTTGCCAACTATGTGGTTGTTTCTTTCGTGGTCACACAAACACTGACCAATTGCTCAGCAAGGCCACTCTTGAGTATTGATTCAGGAAGTGAAAACTCAGCATTCTCCAAAACAGTGCACACGAACAATGTCATAGCAGACTCTCTTGTAATCCTCACAAATAGGATGATGAGAACATCCTCTACTCTGAATAGAGATACAGACTGTAAATATCCACTTTGTGGAATCCTCCAGAGCCACACTTGCATGAGTCCTGTGTGCATTTTGCTAAGTGAATCCAAAAGGTCTGGTTCAGTCTCGTCCCACTTGGGAATCTGAGCACCGAACGCCCAGTGTCGGTGATTTCTAGGAAAGACACAGCCAAGGAACGACTGATCACAGGCTGTCACACCGGAGATTTGTTTCTCTCACATGAGGGGATTGTGTGAGAGAGGGGTAGAATTCCTGGGGCTGGGGTCCAGGGAGATGGTTCAGTGGAATAAGCACTTCCATGGCAAGGGCAAGGGCCTGAGTTCAATCCCCAGTTCCGCAAAAAAAAAAAAAAAATTCCTGGGGCTGAATTGGTAGAAACAGAGCTCTGCAAAAGAGCGATACCACACCAAGAGTGGACTTGGGGGGGGGGGGGTTACTCTATTACCAGTTCCTGGAAATTCAATGTCAGTAACTGTGTTTGCTTCTCCTGAAGAAGCTGAGAGCCTTCTCCTGACTTGGGCTGACTTTTGTGATCTTTCTTTTTTTTTTTTTTTTTTTTTTTTTTTTTTTTTTTTTTTTTTTTTGTGATCTTTCTTGTTCTTTTTCTCTTCTGTTTTCCCTGGGATTCCCCTGGGAAATTCCCCCAAGATCTCCATTTTGTGGGAAGCTTTCAGGGTTTTATGTTTGCTGTCAGATGCACCAGTTTCCAATCAGTATGTCTAGTAGGTGGCTGAAATTTCCAGTCCTGAGATCCATGTTTCTCTTGGACTCTGGGGAGCCTTCATCTCACCCCTTTTGCCACTGAGTCTGGAGAGTCTGTCTTCCTGGGACTCTATCTCTCCAAGCTTCCATTATGGGCCACCTCTGCCATGGTGCTTGGGTCTGGTGCATCTCCTGACCTGCCATTCCCTTTGGTGCTTCTTTGTCACCTCCCACATGTTCTACAGTAGCTCTGTGGCTATCATAGTCTGGGCTCCATCCCCTCACCTCTTGGGCAGCAACTGTAGGCTGACAAGGTCCTCAATCCCCAAGATGTCTGCCTGGAGGACCAAGAACAAATCAGGACATCATCCAGTCCTCGGCCACCACCAGGAAGTTGACAGGCTGAGTGGTGCTTTGTATAAACCACAGTGAGCAAGGGCACCAGGACTCAGCTCAAAACACCAACAAGGAAAGGAACAGGAACAAGGAGAAGGACAGCAGTAAGGAAAGGGAAGGCCACAGGAGCCTCAGGAAGAACACACAGCCTGGCCTGATATAAAAGCCGGGGGGCCCTGAGCACCTCACACATCCACACATTCACACATTCACACACTCACTCACACCCTCCCACAGCCCGACTCTACCATGGCCGCCTCCACCATGTCCGTCTGCTCCAGCACTTACACCGAACCCTGGCAGGTGGATGACTGCCCAGAGAGCTGTTGCGAGCCCTCCTGCTGTGCCCCCAGCTGCTGCCAGCCCAGCTGCTGTGCCCCGGCTCCCTGCCTGAGCCTCATCTGCACCCCATGCTGCCAGTCAGGCTGCACCAGCTCCTGCACGCCCTCATGCTGCCAGCAGTCCAGCTGCCAGCCGGCTTGCTGCTCCTCCTCCTGCCAGCCGTCCTGCTGCGTGCCTGCCTGCTGCACACCTGTCTGCTGCAAGCCTGTCTGCTGCACACCCGCCTGCTCTGGTGCCTCCTCCTCCTGCCAGCCATCCTGCTGCGTGCCTGCCTGCTGCACACCTGTTTGCTGCAAGCCTGTCTGTTGCACACCAGCCTGCTGCACACCTGTCCACTGCACACCCACCTGCTGCACACCTGTCTGCTGCACACCCACCTGCTGCACACCTGTCTGCTGCAAACCAGCCTGCTCCAATGTTTCCTCCTCTTGCTGCCAACAGTCTAGCTGCCAGCCAGCTTGCTGCTCTTGTTCTCCTTGCCAGTCATCCTGTTGCACACCAGCCTGTTGCACGTCTATCTGCTGCACACCCATCTGCTCAGGCACCTCCTCCTCCTGCTGCCAGCCAGCTTGCTGCTCCTGCTCCCCCTGCCAACAGTCCTGCTGCATGCCCGTCTGCTGCAAGCCTGTCTGCTGCATGCCCTCCTGTTCCTCCGTGTCCCTGCTCTGCCGCCCTGTATGCAAACCTGCCTGCTGTGTGCCTGCCTCCTCCTGCTGTGCCTCCTCCTGCCAGCCCAGCTGCTGTCGCCCAACGTCTTGTGTGTCCCTGCTCTGCCGTCCTACCTGTCCCCGCGCAGCCTGCTGCAGCCTTTCCTTGAGCCAGAAGTCCTGCTGCTGATTGGCCTCTTCCCCAAGAGCCAAAAGGCACAGGTCACCCAAAGCTCAAGGCCCTCACTCATCACCTAGTCCTGACCTGTATTAACAGACTACCTCCTGTCTCTGGCATCAAGGGTCCCCCATGTATCCAGTGTGCTGCCCTTACCTCTCCCTCCTGCCTCTCAAGAGCCCTGCCTCCCTCTGTCATCTGTCCCTTCTTCCCATGTTCTCTGCTCTGTCACTCACTCCGGGTCCCAACCCATCAGCACTCTAGTCCTCAATAAACTCCCCTTCACCTGATTCTCTGCCTCTCATGTTCATGGGAACACAGCCTGCGCCATTTCTCTCTTCCCCAGCTGTGGACATTTCTAGGAGCAGAGAAGTCTCAAAAGACAGTGATTCACTCCCTGGGGTCACTTCTAGGACTCAGGGCTTTGCCTTGGAAGGCTGGGCATCTTCACTCAGCCCACACACACACAGAGACCTGGTTGGTGGGGCTTCCCTGTCCCCTACTGTCTGTACCCCATTCCCCACCTCCACTGTCCTGCTCCGAAACACTCCTGGACATTACCCATAGCTTCTCCTTATTGTGTCAGCCTGCAAGCATCACTTCTGTATCCTGTAGTTGCAGGGAGGATGCAGTTCTCTTTCCTGGCAAGGTGGTTTAGTACCTAGAGGCAGAAGGTCTTGGCTATCCCTAAAGTGACACAGCCTAGACATGTGGGCTCTGTGGAACTGGAATTGTGGTGACATCTGAGAAGCACAGGCAGCTTCCCGTGCTTAAGAACACAGCCACAAATGTCAGTGCACAGCATCACGCAGGCCCAGGCCTGCTGGCGTTGTAATCGGCCGTGCTCAGGCGCACAGGCTCAGCTCTTTCCTATCTGCTTCACATGCTTTGTTTCTTCACCCTCCACTGTGTTAGGCTGAGAATCCATGGAGTCTCTACTGCAGCTGGGTGTGACCAAGCTTTCACTGGCAAATATCCAACATTAGAAAGGGAAGCTTAGGGCCAGGGATAAAGCTCAGCAGCACAGAGCTGGCTTGGCAAGCATGAGGCCTGAGTTCCACAACCTGTACCAAAAAAATAAGAGAAGAAAAGTAAGCTCAGAGTTTTGACATCACTGTGCTCACTTTAAAAAAATAATAAAAATATAGTAAAATATCCATAACCTAAGACTTGCAGTCATATCTACTTCTCCTCTCTGTGCACAGTTCAGTATTCCTGAGTCCTTCCTCAGTGCAAACATTGTTGTCATCTCCATCACAGAAACTCTGCCCCGAAAAACAAGAACTCTCATACCCCTTTCAGCCCCTGTCTCCACCAGTCTGGCTACACCAAGTCCCCACGTTTAATTTGGGGAGGAACCACTGAATTGCTTTCCACAGCAGCTATACCACTTTACAGTGCTTCCGGGGTTTTCTGTTGAGGAACAGGAGTAACCATCTTAATCCGGCAGAGATGCCTTTGGTCTTAGCCCAAAGCACCCCCAGAACCTGTCATCAGCCCCGCCCCTCCTCATAGGCTCCGCCCCTCACCTGCCCAACCCTCCCGCCCGCAGCCCCGCCCCCTCTTCCTTACCCCCACCCTCACCACCTCCCTTCCTTTTCCGATCAGCCTTACCCTTCTCTCCACCCTCCCCTCACCCATCAATCAGCCTTTCCTCCCTCCCCTCCAGCGCCCTGCCCCTCCCTTCTGGCCCAGCTCCGCCCTTCCATAAGCCTCTTCCTCACAAGTCCCTCCCACAAGCACCACTACCAGCCCGTGATCTCGTGGCTTACCTTTCTCCCCCTCACCCACATGCCCATGCTGCCAAGGTCTTGCCCACCTGTCCCACTGGCCCTACCCCTTGCCTCTCAGCCCCGCCCTCCAGGTCCCGCTTCTCCCATAAGCCAGGCCCCTCAAAGTGCTGTCCCTGCTCTCCACAGAAGAACGAGTATTTGCTGGCGGTGGTGGCAGAGGACAGAGATGCACTGCTGCTGGGCCTGCGCTACTCACCCAACCAGCTACACTTCCTGTTCCTCCGCGAGGATGCGGCCGGCGCCTGGCAGACCCGAGTGTCCTTCCGCAGCCCGGGCCTCATGGACAGCCAGTGGCACACACTGGTGCTGGCCGTGTCTGAAGGTTCCTTCTCCCTCACCACGGACTGCGGCCTCCCGGTGGACATGTAAGTACCAAGCAGATGGCAGTGCTGTGTCTCACTGGGGCAGCCTGGCCTGGAGGTCGTGGCCTGGAGATTCCCTCTTGTCCAGAGGGCCACCGTGGGCGCGGACCGGGGGCCAGGTGAGGACAGGATGCTTACACAACAGTCACCTGCAGGTTGTTACGTTGACAGCAGAACTCTCCACACCCCAAGGGATAGGCGCTCAACCCCAGAGGGACTTCATGCCAGGTTGCTTCTTGGGTCTGCAGTAGCCCAGGGCTGGTCTTTTCCTCCCTGAGGCCGGTCACATTGTCCCCTCTGCCGGGCACCTGCCTTCCTGCCCTATCTCTCCAGGATTCAGCCTCTGCTTGCTCTTCCTAATGCTTCGTGGGTTTCAGGCAGGTGCCTCCCCACTGCTTCTGCCATTGCCCCTCCCCAGCTGAGGACAAGGCAGGTAGCAGCCACCTCCTTGCCCTGTGCTTCTGCACAGGACCCTTGTCCTGGGTGACATGGTCCCAGACCCATATCTACCTGTGACTGGGAAGGTGCTCCTACTTGGACCACAGTCTTTTAAGCAATTGGATGAGGCCAGACTGGAGCCAGAAGGGCCCTTTTGGGAGGCAGAGGCAGAGAGGTGGCCACTTGAGGAGGAAGGAAGGGTGGGATGATGAGGCCACAAACCAAGAAACACTGGGGCCACCACAAGCCAGAGAAATCAAGGACAGCCTCCCACTGGAGCATCTGAGGCTTTGTGACCCACAACATCCTGATCTCAGCGTCTGGGCTCAAGACCAAGAGGGAATAAATTTCTATGGATCACACTGCCCATGTGTGCTTTGTTGTGGCTCACTTGTTAAACAACTGAGGTACAGCCTCACTCTTCCTTGCCCTAAGTCTGCCCCCTGGTGTTCTCAGAATGGCTGATGTGCCCTTCCCAGCCACCTTGTCTGTGCGAGGAGCGCGGTTCTTCATTGGCAGTCGGAGGAGAGCAAAGGGCTTGTTCACAGTGAGTACAACCTGTCCTGATGATATGTGGGTAAATAGATGGCTAGCTGCTCCCAAGGTAACCAGAGCATGAAGGTGCAGTGGGTCTCTACTGCGGGGCCCTTGCGCTTGCCTTTTCCTTCCTGTTTGCATGGAGTCCTGCCCTGCTACTCTGATAGGATGGTGCCTACATAGCCATGCATAATGGCACCCACCTGCAATCCCAGCACTGGGGAGGCTGAGGCAGGAGGATCACCTCAAATTCAAGGCCAGTCTGAGCTATATAGTGAGTTCAAGACCAGCCTGAACAGCATAGTAAGACCTTGTGTCAAAATTACCAAAGGAAAAAAAAAAATGTTGCCAACACACCCACCTTGGCCCCTGCCAGTACTCTCTGCATCTGCTCTCAGCAGCACAGCCTGCTCTTACCCACAGTGTCTCTCAGGGGAGGTGCCTCATTCTGTAAGGGTTAGAGTTCTGATTCCTCCTGGGTCCTCAGGGTCTGGAACCATGACAGGGTACTCTGTGAGAGTGTGATATCAAGCTCAGTCATGGACAGATGAGTGGATGGATAGATGGATGATGGATAGATAAATGGAGCGACAGTGGGCGGACACTAGGTGGGTGATGGGTGACTAGATGGAGTCATAGACAGATACGTAGATTTTTGGATGAGTGGACAGTCAGATGGGTGAGCAGTCAGGAGGGTGTCCGTGATGGGTGGGTAGACAGGTGGATGGAGTGGTAGATGCGTGGATTACGGGTGGATGCCTAGGTGGACAGGCAGGTAAAGCAGTATAGCCTGGTCACTCTAAGTTGGTCTGCGGGGAAAATCCCCCCATGGTTTAACCACCTGAGCACAGTGCCCTTCCAGCATCTCGCTGACACCAGTGTGCATATTCATCTCTCCTGACTCTACTAAGGTCCAACTCCAGCACGCTTATGCTACCCTCTGTTGGGGGTGGATCAGGCTTTCCAAACTTCCTTGATGAGTGGATGGTGAGGGATTAAATAAATTAGGTCAGCAATATGAAGCTTTAGGATCCAGGAAGGTCAGAACTCTTTTGGAGCTAAGACAAAGATTTCCCTGGAATGCCCGTATTTATTGGATTCCCAACAAATTCAGGGGATATGAGGGAAAGTAAAGGGGAACCCGGTAGAGTTGGGAAACTGAGCAGGACCTTGAGAAGTTAGAACAAAGACATTCTTAGGCAGTAAATCTTGCCAATTAAGCTAACTGTATTATCTTTAAGGTGGGAAGTTCATAGCTCTAGAATAGAAAGCAAGCAAGATGTCCTCGGCTATGGTTTATCTTTCCCTCTGAGATGTCAGTGTCATGGACCAAAATAGGTCTCCACAGTGACCACTGGCATGGCAAATTATAATTTCTACATGCCAGCCAACACCAGCCCTTGGAGCAAGTCCCTGAGTCCTGAGACAGACTCATAACAAACACATAAAGTAAATCAGTTCATTTTAAAGCCTGCTCCAAGACCCCTGGGTCCAGGGGGACTAAGCCCACCACCCCTCACTTTCACAGCAGTGCAGGCTCTGAGCAAGCTGCCCTCTCTCCACAGGGCCTAGTGAGGCAGCTGGCCCTGCTGCCAGGCTCGGACGCCACCCCAAGGCTGTGCCCCAGCAGGAACGCCCAACTGGCTGAGCTGTCCATCCCACAGGCGCTCCAGGGGTTCTCAGGGAAGCCGGACAATAATGAGGTGCTGAAATATCCATATGGTTAGTAGGCAAAGCTGAAGTCCTTTCCTGCAGCAGACACCAGTGGCTCCTGCTCAACCTTTCTTTGAACTCCTGGTGGTGGTAGAAGGACAGTTGCCACTGGACAGGCCAGCATCATTACCCTTCCTTCCGAGGGCCCCTACTTGCACAGGGCCCTGGCTGACCCTGCAGATGGCACATGGTCCTTGCACCCTTCTCCAGAGCTCCAGCAGCCTCCCTTGGGCTGCACAGAAGCCTTGGCCCAGCCTGGCAGGACCTGGCCTCCATGTGTACATCTGCCTTCTGTGCCTCACACAGCCCAGAGTCCCTAGAGGCCCACTGTCTCTGGCTTGTATTTGGGTCATTCTGATGTTGGTGACGCTTCATTAAAATTACAACTGGCGGCTTGGCCCGGTGGTGCATGCAAGTAATCCTAGCACTCAGGAGGCTGAGGCAGGTTTGTCATGAATTTGAGGCCATCTTTGGGCTATGTAGTGAGTTCAAGGCCAGCCTGAACTACATAGTGAGATACTGTCTCAAACAAAAACATAAAATCATAACTGGCAAGGCCCAGATACTGCAGAGCCAAGCAGAGGTGAGGCTAAGTTACCTCACGCCTGTCAGAAACAGACATGAAGGCAGAACCAGCAGTACATTCAGAGAGCACAGGCCGAAAGCAGAAAGCCACATCTTTTGGAGTAGACAGCAGTCAGAGCTGGCAGATGCCATGCAGTGGCCTGGGTGTGTGTCCTCACCCCCAGGACCCCCTGCAGGGTGGTGGTCCTAAGACATAAGGCTCCTTCCAGCCACATAGAGGTGAAGGAGAGTGCGGGGTGGGGCCTCCCTTTGGGACCCTACACTGCCAACACCCCTGCCATGGTTCCCTGCAGAAGCTGACCTGAAGGTGACCTTGGGGTCCCAGCCACCCTGTACCAAGGCAGAAGAATCCCAGTTCTGGTTTGATGCCGCCCAGAGGGGACTGTACCTGTGCGTGGGCAGCAAGTGGGTCTCGGTGTTGGCAGGTGAGGCTGCACCACTCCACGTGTGTGTTACCCTGAGCAGGCAGGAGAGCTGTGGCCCATCCCAACTGGGAGAAGAGGTTATGAAGGAGCAACTGGCCTTGGTCATCTCTAGATGGCCACACACTGGGCTGTCCAGGCTGAGACACTTCTAAGAAAGACCTCTATGAACCAAGGACCACCCAGGCAGCCAGGACCCTGTCCCCTGTAGGCCCAGCATTCCTAGCCCCAAACTGTCCTCAGAGTCACATTGCTGAGGCTGAACACTCACCCCACAAGGCAGGGCATTTAATCTGGTGGCACATTCTAGGTCACCCAGGGCCCACAGTCAGCAGCAGGACTGGGGACCTCCAGCTTCCTCTTCACAGTTGATGGTAAAGGGTACCCAGGGATGCTTCCCTCCTGGAAGGTCCTGTCCTTTACCCCTCCCATGAGACCACAGATAAAAGACATCTGGAAGCGCTGCTTCTGCCACACACCCTCAGATGCAGCATATGGGTTCTGTGGGAAGGGGAGGGGAGCAGCAGGTTTCCTCCTGTCCTCTTCTGCTGCACCCAAGATGCATGGAGAAGAAGCAGTGAACCTCAAAATCATGTAGTGCAGTGCAGAGATGTCATCCTGTCCCTGAAAGGAGATGCAGCTGCAGGCCAATCTCTCACAGAGAACCAGGGCAAAGGCCTGGAGTCAGCTGTGACTGAGGCCCCTGGGTGTCACTCAGCTCCCACCCTTGGGCTGCTAACCAATCACCATCTCCCATCTCAAGCCAAAGTCAAGCTGGACTATGTGGAGGAGCACCAGAGCCTGGTCACGAACTCAGAGACACTTGGCCTCGAGGTGTTCGGCATCCCTAAAGTGGGGCTCTTCATGGCCACAGCCAACCGGAAGGCCACATCTGCCATCTACAAGTGGATGGATGGGAAGTTCGTCTCCTATCAGAACATTGCCACACACCAGGCACAGTCCTGGCGACACTTCACCATTGGGAAAAAGGCAAGTCTGCCCTTGGTGATGTCCCTGCCTTTCCACATGGGGCAGGCTGCAGTGCCCACAGGGGAAGCTCCTCCTTGGGATCCTCCAGGTCCCAGTGGCCCTTTCTCAGGGTTCACAAGCCCAGTTCTCATGGAGAAAGGCTCAGTCACAGGCCTGAGGCCACGGCTCTTCGTCCAGTGTAGAAGTCTGTTTGGCTTCCCACAGACAAAGGACAGGACCATTTCTGAGCTGTTGTCCCCTGTGTAGGTCCTGGGGAACCAAATCCAAAACCTGCTCTCCTGCTATGGTCAACAGAGAAAACATGTGCTTCTCCCTCCATACACAAGGCAGACTTTCGACCTCCCAACAGAGAAGGCCAGGTCCTGGGGGCCATAACAGGTTGTCAGCACCATGGTGGAAGGAAAGAGTTTTCTCTTCCCAGTTCCTGGACTACGAACCATAGTCTTGCAGGTAGTGTCCCTGATGCCTTCCATATCCTCATTTGCTCACAGGGGAGTCCCAAGACACCTGGGCCTCACTTGGGACAAACCAGACAAGCACCACCTTCCCACCCTCACCTCTACCACTGTCCCCACTGCCTCCAAGTCCCATGTAGCAAATAAATAACAAGCTCCATTTTTCTTTCTGGTTGATGATATTTTTCATTTTTCACTACAAAGTAGATAAATTCACATCAAAGAAAAATTAGGAAGTTCAGAAAAACATGGGAGAAAATATTTTGTGCCCTCACCTGAACAGACCCAGGTTCTTTTGCAAACTGGCTCTATGCACGCGGAGCACCAACTGGGCGACGTGCTTCCTGGGCCCAGCAGAGCCACACAGCACGGGGGCTCCTTTTAGTGCATTTCCCCATTAGCCCAGGCTGCCACGTGGCATCCTGCCATGTGTAGGCCATGTCCTGACAGAAAGAAGACAGGGCATTGCCATGTTTTCTGTCCATCCAGTCACAGAGAAAAAGTTTGTGCGTAGACCATGTCTGAATTTGGGATTTTTTGTTCTTTTGATAGAAATACAAATAATACATTAAAGAAAGGGGGCAATTACCAGATCTGGAGAGCCAGCCTCAAGCTTCAGAAACCTTCAACATCTGGCCCCTGGCCTCCCTCAGAAGAACCATGCTGACCTGGTTTCTCTCTTGCAGATCTTCCTGGCTGTGGCGAACTTTGGACCGAATGAAAAAGGTCAGGAGTTCTCGGTCATTTATAAATGGAGCCACAGAAAGCTGAAGTTCACTCCTTACCAGAGGATTGCCACCCACAGCGCCCGGGACTGGGAGGCCTTCACGGTGGACGGGGAGCACTTCCTGGCAGTGGCCAACCACCGGGAAGGTAGGGCAGGTGTGGCCTTTGACCTGGAAGCAATCCACTCCTGGGACAGAGCATGACTGCTGAGCAAGGTGGATTTTTATCTCAGTACAAAAATTATAAGTTGGGCTGGGGAGATATCTCAGTGGCATAAGCACCAGCCATGGAAGTACAAGGTCCCAAGTTCAATATCTGGTACTGAAAAAAAAGTTGCCAGGCACCGTGCCACATGCCTTGTAACACTAGCACTCAGTGGCTGAGGCAGGAGTATAACCTTGAGGCCAGCCTGTCATAGAATGAGAACCTGTCTCAAAAAAGGAAGGAAGGAAGGGAGGGAGGGAGG